GATCCTGGGTGTGGACCTACACCATTCATCAGCCATGCTGTGGTGGTGACCCACATACAAAATAGAGGTGGATTGGCACAGATGTTGGCTCAGGGCAAATCTTCCTCACCAAAAATAAAAAATGGAAATAAACCAAAATAGTGATAAGCTTAAGTATAACTTTTATTTTCTTTTTTATATTTTCCAAATGTCCTGCAATGAAATATACTCCTTTTATAATTATAAAATTTCTTTAAATTTTTTTAAAGATATGACAACTTTACACAGTTGGAATAACAAGCTAGAGAAAGGATAAACAGATACAGACACAGACATAGATACATTGCTATTATAGATATGCATACATATATGTTTCACAATATCACAATAAACAGTTACATTGAATCAGGTTTAAATAGAACTCACTCCTGTGTTCACATTAACTTTCTGTGATAAGGTAATCTGGTAGCTGACAATGGCCATTGCATTTCCCCCTAGTGTTAAATGAGTTTTCGTAGAACTTAACACAAGTTTAGTTCTCTACTGACTTCCTCCCCATTGTTCATTTTTTCTTCATTTTTTAAAATTGAGATACAACTGACATGTAACATTGTGTAAGTTTAAGGCACACAACATGTTGATTTGATACACTTATATACTGCAATGGATTGCCACCCTAGCGTTAGCTAACATCCCATCACTTCACACAATTATCATTTCCCCTTTGGGGTAAGAACATTTAAGATCTAGTCTCCCAGCAACTTTGAAGGATATAATACAGTATTGTCGACTATAACCACCACGCTGTGCGTCACACCCCCAGCACTGATTCGTCTTCTAACTGCAAGTTTGTGCCTGGGACCAACATCTCCCCAGCCCCCACTGCAGCCCCTGGTGACCACCATTCTACTCTCCCTTTCTTCATCTTTTGATACCTCAAACTCTTTGCAAACAAGTAGGGTATGAATAAATGCAAATTCTACAGTCATTTTCACATAAACCTGATACTATTCCCAGGCTTCACCGTAATTTTCACTTTAAAGGAGTTTTTATCAGGCTGCCACTTGGCCCTCAGGAGTGGTTTCTGCAAGACATGCCGGATCTGGAACGTGACTCTGTACAGCACAGCCACTCTCTCCAGGCCTGCCTCTCAGGCTGCTTTCTCCCCAAAACGCACACGTTCACGAGCATGGAAAAGCCTGTGTAAACAGTTCCACTAAGAGGAATTCTCTGTGAAGGAAATCACTAAAGCCCCTGTTCTTTCCTCCCAATTATGTCCAGATTGTCACTATCAGGCCATTAGCTTGTTCACAGTGTTTCTAAGATACACATAAAATAAAACTATGTAGAGATCACATAAATCCTAGGTCTCTGAATCTTTCAGTAACCCCCTAGAAATCTCAAACAGGGTAAGCGCAGGAAAATGATGCAAAACTCCCCCGAGCACTATGCATCATGTCCTTTATCAGGAAGAATGACGCTTTCCACAACACAGTTGCTGGGTAAAAACTGAGTCTGTATATCAAAGTTCAAGCAACAATGTAGTTGTACCGTAGAATATGTCGTTTTGTAAATTGGTGACTGTTTTAATAATGATTTCACAAAGAATGTAAAATATAGATTTAGATTTGTTGAAGGAGACAGAAAGTAATCCGAGTATAGTTTACTATTCTGACTGTAACTGGAAATAAATAATTCTAAATTGAAAACTTTCTTATCAGCAGTTTACCATTGAGATGGCAACATATACTCAAGCGGTTCAGGTAATTAATGCAAAATGAAGTTTTTATTTGAATTATCAGCACTTCCCTCAATTCATTTGCCTCACCTTCTATTGCAAGCCTGATCGTCGCCAGTTTAGGGAAATAAGAAATGACTAGTATTAGTCTTTCTGATGTGCTTTTTGTAGTCTTCAGCTTTCCTGGTTAGGAAAATCTATATTCAAACATGTTGAGCACATCGTTTCTAGTCGTACACAAATACACAGTTAAAAACTAAACCATCACCAGCCGTTTTCTCAGCCTGCTATCCTTGAAGTTCTAGAGAGAAAAATAAGCCTCTCTTTCCAACATTCTGATTTAAATATGACATTCTATATTAAAAATTATTTTTATTATCATCCCTTTTTTCAAGGAGGGGAAATAATGTTTGGTTTTATCTGCAGAATAATTATTAATTTATCATAGATTTTAAAATCTGTCATGAAACAGATTATTAAATTAATAATTTAATGAGCAATTTCACATTGAATATATAATTTAACTCTAAATATTATACTGTTTTGGCAAGACCATTATCTCTGGTTATATCAAACATTATTTCTTCCAAACAGTCCAAATTTTAAAATGTTACTTAAGGACCAAATAATTTATTTTCAAATTTTTATGCCACTTGCTTATCTGATAGGAAATAGTCTGAAAATGTTGATTTTAGAAGAGGAACTTAATTTTTAAACTTTAACATTGGGAAGATGATATCTCTGAAAAGTATTGACCCTAGTAGAGTTATGCTTATAGTTTTTGAAGTAGAACAGGTTTATTTACTGTCTTTTTTTAAAAAAAGAATGTTTTACATTTAACTTTTAACAAAAATAAATAACATGAATACAAGTTACTATTTTTTATATTGTTGTTTTCCTCCTGACGTAAGTCTAGGATCTAAGAGGTTTCAATGACCATACAGAGGTTGCTATACTGCATTGACATCTGGTGGATTAAGGCAGTTATTACAAGGTCGAAGAGCACTCTCAACTTTTGGTTAGAACAACGCTGAAGCAGAGAACTTGATCATCTCTAGTCTGATCCAGGAGTGTTTCAGCTATGAAAACTGAGGCAAAGAGAAAGTAAATCTGTCAGAACTATTTCAAGAATTGTCAAAATACATGAAATAAATATAACATTGGTCTTGGTAAATAGAAATTCAACTTAAGAAGCAGAAAACATGAATATAGACTACATCTGTAAAGTGTATAGAATTTCCTCCTTTGGGGAAGTAATATGAGGTTTCATTACACTGCTCCCTCTGTGAATATTTGAAATAAAAAAGTTTTCTAAATGAAATGTAAAAACTTGTGTGAAGTTGAAAAAAATATCGCTGTTCCTGTGATAAACTTGTGCTTTTTCATTTACTGGAATGTGAAAAGAGACGAGAAAAGAGAAAAAGAAGACTCGGGTTGCTTCTCCCCATACATATTTAACAGTCCTCTGAGACGATACTCCTTAAGGAAGAAATCGAACTGGGTCAAAGGCATTTAGTCCCCAGAGAAACTTAAACACAGTATCACAAAAAAGAACAATCTCTTGTGTGGCTTTCCAGACACCGGCTCTCCCTCTCCACCCACCCTTCTTCTCGGCGGAACGCACATCCCAGAGGCCTGCGCTTCGCAGCCCTGCCCTCACCCCAACCCTGATCCATATGCAGAAACTCCTCTGAAGAGCCTCCCCTGCTCTCCCAGCCCTGGCCGGCTCTCCGCAGTCCTTGGTTTCCTTGCATACTCTCCCTACGGTACCCACATTTAATCTTAAATGCATTTGTTTCTTTCCCTAGACAGTAAGCTTCTTTAGGGCAGGGACCCAGCCTGAACCATTTCTTTCTAATGCCTAACAACTTCCTGCAAATTGTAGGTGCTCAATTAGAGCCTGCCACATACACGGGTGCTCTGGTACTATCTCCCGAAGGCCCTGCTAACCTTCACAGTGCCTCCACTACCAAAAGTAGGTTATTAATTTCCCCTATTAAGTTTGGAAAGATTCTGTCTGGCAGAAAGCCTGTATTTTTGAATAATTAATTCCTTTGACCAATTTTGTCCATCAAAATACAGTACTTTATCAGAGTTTCTAAGTCTCCCCGCCTGCAAAGGGTCCCTGGACCCAATTCTAACGTGAGTGTGGAGGCTTCCCCACACCAGCAACCAGTTCTCAGATGCCAGCTGGATGTCCGAGAATTCACCTCAATTCTGACCCTACCTACCCAAGATAGAATCAGACCCCACAGGTGAAGGGCTCAGTCCCACAAGCCCGCCCTCCACTTCAGACGCCAGTTGCAAGACCAGCACAAAGGAGCTTCTGTCCTGTGGAGCCAGGGGCCTGGCATGGTGGCACACAGAAGTGTTCTGGTTCCCCAACATGGAAGCTCTCTTAAAAAAAGGCCGTTGAGCTGTCCTTTTTTGGGTTTTTACGGAGGCTTCATTACGTAGTCATGATTGACTGAGTTACTGCCTATTGGCAACTGATTCAGCCTCCAGCCCCCTCCCCTCCCTGGAAATCACCGGGTGGGACGGAAAGTTCCGATCCTCTGATCACACTGCCGGTTCTCCTGGCAACCAGCCCCCAACCTCGGGTGGGGTCCACAACTCACCTGCATTAACACAAACAGGACACCCGTTTCATCTTTACGGCCCTGAAGTGGTTTCAGGAAGGGAGGACACGAGACCAAAGACACAAAATGTACAAAATATAAGAAAAGACGCTCCCATAGTTCTTGTTGCTCAGGAAATGTCAAGGGTTTTGGGAGCTGTGAGCCAGGAGCTGTGATGAAGACCAAATATATCTGAGAAATATATTTTGATCGTCTTAACAAGAGATGTTCACATATTGGGGTATATGGGGTAACTATTCTGATTCAAAACTGATTCGGCTTGAACTAAAAAGAGCCTGTTTTATGGCCTATCAGACATACATTGCACATCTGCTTTAACCATTAAAATAAGAATGCGTCTTTCCCCTCCTACAAAGCCAGTCACGCCCTGTTGGTGATGCCTGTACTAGTACTCCCAAAATAAGTTCCCTTTTCCAGCATCAGGGTCATGTTGACCTGCTGGTTTGCAACTGACTACCTCTTTGAAACTTTGATGAATATGTATCCTGGGCATGTTTAATGTATGTTCTTTGTTCTAAAAAGGTATAAGACTGTACTGAAAACCATGCTTCTCAGGAACATTTCTTCCTTTCTGGAAAAAGCCTTCTGGGGTTATAATCCTCACTGTGGTTCAAGTACAACTCGCCTCTCTCTCTTATCTGCAGAATGGTTGTTGGTCATTCTGCATCAACATTTCTTGTCACAGTTGGCAGGATTGCAGAGAAACCTACCGGCAACCACCCGGTGTCTACTTTGAACCGGCGCTTGGTACCACACAGGCCCATTGGGTCCTCTGGATTCACGGCACTCTTCAAGTGCCCCTGGTGAGCTTTTCTTGAAACGCAGACCTCCTTATTTAAGTTGTAGGTCCCGACTTTTACTTGAGCTGTTTCAAGTCTTAAGACTAGGTGTCTTGGGGCAGGCCCAGTGGCATAGTGGTTAAGTTTTCGGGCTCCGTTTCGGTGGCTCAGGGTTCGCAGGTTCAGATCCTGGGCACAGACACATGCACCACTTATCAGGCCATGCTGTGACAGCATCCCATATAAAACAGAGGAAGATGGGCACAGATGTTAGCCCAGGGCCATTCTTCCCCAGCAAAAAGAGGAGGATTGGCTACGGATGTTAGCTCAGGGCTAATCTTCCTCACAGAAAACAAAAAAAAAAGACTAGGTGTCTTGAGGGGTTACTGGCACATTTCCTAGGTTCACGTACAATAGGTATGGAGCAGATGCTTGCAAGCGCTTAACAAAATGAGGATAACCGTAAATGACTGGATCTTTGGATCAAGATAACCCAGGATAATTTAAAATTACAGTGGCCACTTTGGGGCTCCTTTGAGCCTCCAAACCTTGTACACTGACCATTAGAAGGAGTGTTCCAATTAGGTAAGATCATTTAAGAAGTGCACTTATTAAGTCATGGCTTTACAGACACCCTCATAATCTACCTTCGAAGGAGGACCCAATATGAGCCCCTCCCAGGGTTAACAAGACTCTGAGAAACAGATTTTCTGGGAAACAGCTACCGTTAAAGAGTCGAGGGGGAACTGAAATTAGAAATTAATGGAGTTGTTTAATGCTGCCAGGAATAGTTAGTTTGTCCTGGCTGAAACCTGACAAGATATTTGGAAGGAGTTAGTAACTTATGATCAGAAATTTGGCCAAATTGGCAGTTGATATTTAAAGCTTGATAGGAATTTTTTTAAGCCTTCTTCCCTAAATAAAGATAAAACTAAGTACCCAGAGGAAAAGAAGCAAATTAAGGATAATGTAATTGGATGGGTGTATCAGTCCTTTGATAAGTGACTAAACTCCCCTGTTTATCTCAAAAACTTGTGACCTCTCTGGGAGCTATTATCTAGACCACCCCAGATTCCTAAGACTGAAAAAAAAATGGGAGATGGGGAGAAGCTTTTGGAGATGCAGACTGCTATGAAAGCACCCTTGCCCAAAAATCTAAGGAAAATTTTAAAAACAGAGGCTATAAAATCCTTGTTGCATCTGTCTGTGTGTTTATGTGTGTGTCTATATATATGTTATGCATGTGATATTTTCGTACCTCCAGATCGCATACTTGTTAAAAGACCTCTATTTAATTGGCCTAGAGCGAGCACTTATATAAATGTAATAAAAATGAACCCAAATGTCTTTCAAGTTAATGTGATAAAAAAAATAATCTTTGGAAAATGAAAGTTTATTTAAGTTTGTTGGTTTGATTGAAACAAGCATGTCTTCAGAGTTATCAGCCCTGGATGTGATGCAGACATGCAGCCTTCACTCTATCTGGGCTATTAATCTAATAAGCTCCTGTCATCTCTGTTACAAAACTTGCTAACAAAAGTAATAACTTTGAATGATAGCTAATTTTTGTCTAATGTCTCATGAAGTTTTTGTGGGTAATCTAAGCATAATTTTTGGGAGGGAATGATTTAGGTAGATGTAAATGAGATAAGAGTTTACAGATAAACTTTTTAGTAATTATATTGTATGGCATGTGTACTTAAAATAGCTTCTGAAATCTCTTTGGAGGTTTGCTAGGTTAAATTAAATGATGGAAATTCATTGAATATCTAGTATTTTCCACTAAGATAAAATACAGAACTATTAGTTGCTAAACAAGTCTAACTTTACCACTTTTGTCTTCGTATTACAGAGAAAGTAAAGATGTTTGAATCTATTAGTAAACATGTCTTATGCTTTCTTGAAAGATCATACTATGGAGTAGCATATGTTTCTAGAAATTATGAAAATTATTTATAAATTTGCCAAGCCACAGAATGCTAATGTAAAAGACAGCCCATAACTGTTTACTTCTTTATTTTTTGCTAGAAATTAAGGGTTCTAACTGTAAAAAATTCTAATTAGTATACATAATTAAAACTACTAAAATAATAAGGGAAATATCTTAATACATGAGAAAAATAAAATGTGTTTTCAGCAAAATAGATATATTTATATGGAATTTTTATATATCTGTGGATTGGAAATACATTCTGTCAAGAAAACAAAAAGAGGAAAAGCATAGGACAAAATCTGAATGTAAAAAGAAAGTTATAGAAGGTTTGTGAAAAAAGAACCTTGAAAAAAGAGTTTTGTGCATGGTCAAGTTGGCTAAGATTAAAATAAATTTAATTAAGTAAATAAGTTTTAATATCAAAAGTAAGCTAGTGCCAAATTAGAATTTGGTTTTTTCTCTCTTTAAAAGGGCAGTTTCAGGGCTGGCCTGGTGGTGGAGCGGTTAAATTCACATGCTCTACTTCAGCGGCCCAGGGTTTACAGGTTCAATCTCGGGCGCAGACCGACATGCCGCTTGTCAAGCCATGCTGTGTCAGCATCCCATATAAAAAGTACAGGAAGATGGGCATGGATATTATCCCAGGGTCCAATCTTCCTCAGCAAAAAGAGGAGGATTGGCACTGGATGTTAGTTCAGGGCTAATCATCCTCACAAAAAATAAAAGGGGCAGTTTCCTGGGACTTATCAAAGAATTTGTTCTCTCTTCCTATAAAGAGGGTGATACTAAACTAATTAGGTTTATTTGGTATGTTAAATTGCAGTGAAAGCATTGTCAAGTAAATGATAAATTCTCCAGTTATATTGAGTAGGCAAATATTACTCGTTATCTTAGCACTGCTACCTTGCCACCAGCACCACAGGAGGAAAATCACCATGACTGCATTCTATTATCTAATTTGGTTTACAGATGGGTCTTACTTAAAAGATAAGCAAGGACATTAGTGGGCTGGATATGTTGCCCAGCCTCAAGAATGTCCACTGCTTTCTGTTAACCCTGATAACCCAGTGAAAGATTTCCTTCTACAGGCTCAATGAATCACCGTGGAAGAAGAGAAACAAATATGGCAACAAAAACGGGGAATTTTTGACACCACCACACAGATGTAGTTTGGGCTCGATAACAAACCATAATGCCTATTGGAGTACAATTGTCACTGCTCCAGTATATACATCAGTTAACCCACTGGGCACCTGAAAAGATGATTTCATGTGGAAAACAATATTTTTGGAAATTTTCTCCCATGGTGGCTCAGAAAGCACATTCTTGTGGTATTATACGTCGTAAATATAATCCCAAGAAAATACTTCATGGTTTGCAAGATCACTTTCCCCATCCTAAGGGACCCTTTGAGGTATGGCAATCGAGCTTTGTTCAAATGCCAACCTCTCAAGGATATAAATATCTTAGTAATGATCTGTGTGTTCTCACATTGGGTTGAGGCTTTTCCTTACAGAAGAGCAATGGCTTTGGTAGTAGGTAAATTATTGGAGAGGATAATTTCTGTTTGGAGAATTCCTACCCAGTTATTCAGTGACCAGGGAACTCATTCCACTGGGCAAATAATTAAATTTATTTGTGACATTTGGCCAATAATGCAACGTTTTAACTAACAGTACAATCAAAACTCAATTGGCAAAATTTTCAGAAGCATTTAATCTCTCATGGCCAAAAGCTCTTCCACTAGTACTTCTCAATCTTAGATCTACACCTTTTGGTAAACATCGGCTGTCTCCTTTTGAAATAACAACAGGATGGCCTATGCAATTAGATGAGGAAATGCATGAACCAACTTTGCTTAAGGGAGATATATTTCATTGTTGTCAGGATCTCATTGAGATGCTTAAAAGAAATGAAAGGTCAGTAGCTGACTCCTTTCACAGAGAGCTCCCCGGAAATAAATACCTTAAGGATCATGGACTATAATCTGGAGATTCTATTTATTGGAAGAGGTATCACATAAAAGACTCTCTGTAGCCCCACTGGAAAGAACAATAACAGGTACTTTTAACCAATCCATGTGCTGCAAAATTAAAGGGCATAGACTCAGGGATTCACAATTGTCACTTAGAAAAAACCTCCTCTGCCTGAGTGGATTTCAACTTTGGTTGCTGACACCTGACTTCGACTGGCTAAGGCAAATATCTCCAAACTGGGATGAGAAGAAGACGGCATCTGTTGTAGACAGATATCCCAAGACTCTGGACCCGGCCTGTATTCCCAACCTTATATCTCCTAATTTAAACCCTTGTAATGCTTAAACCATATACCCATTTTATAATTGTTCTATTTAAGGTTTTCAGAATACTTTCATACTTAAACAAAGTGATTGGTTTGGAACAGACTGGTCTTGAAGGCCAGGCATTTATTGGGTGGCTCCTAACAGAACTCAATGGTTATGTGGAACAAATATCTGGCCTTTACTGCCACCCAGATGGCTAGAATGCTGTAGCCTGGGCTTCCCTTGGATGCAGGGCAGGATTCACTCTGAATTAACAACTGTTGCCAATCTTCCTCTCCTTAAGACTGGGTGGGCTCACTCAGTGTTCCATGATATGACCACCTAGCGGCTATATTTGTTCCTTCCTTGGGGCTAGAAGACGTCATATCACATATAAAGACTCTGACTAAATTTACTCAACAAGCCCTTAACAATAGTCAAGCAGGAATAGTCTTATTAAATACTGCAATGTCTTTAATGAGAAAGGCTGTCCTTCAAAATAAAACGGACTTAGACATTTTAACTGCATCCCAAGGTGGCACGTGTGCAATCATTCAAACTGAATGCTGTGTTTTTATACCTGATGAATCTTCCAATGTGTCATCTCTGCTAAAGCACAAGAAAAAGCAGGTGAATGTCTTAAGCAAGCCTACACCTAGTCTTGATTTGTTTAGTTGGCTCCCTTCTGGTATTGGCTCTCTTTTGCAATCTGGACTGCAATTCCTATTTCTATTACTCCTTGGAATTCTTGTATTAGTCATGATACTCAAACTAATTACTGTTTTCCTTACTCAGTGTTCTAAGACTGGC